TTTCAAGTAATGTGCCCCTCAATAAATAACAGTACATATCATAAAAGGACATAGCAAGGTCAAATATCAATTGTTTTAACTGCCAGGTTTTGATCCCCCATTTGTGAAAATCATTTAAAGAGAAAGAAGAAGCAAATGTTAGGAATTTATGTAAATCAGGTAAACAAAGAAGTGCTGGTGTTACCCAAAGTTTTTTTTCTGTCATGCTCTGATCTATAGCAACAAATACTGCATCACAATGTCGGTTTCCTTTTGTTGGCATGCTTAATGGCATCATTCTGAAAGTGCAAAAAGTGCAGGGACATAGTGCAAAAAGTGTTCTGTGCATATTGATTGGACAAAAGCAGTGTATGGGCAATGTGCATTTTATATGAATGTGTAAATACAATATTTGTTAGGTGGAATAAATAATTGAATCTGTTGGTTTCAGAATTTTATTCTGAACCCAACATTTTATTTGCGTCATAAAAGGAAATTAAATTCACACGGGCGCTAAGGCCAGTTCACAGTGAATGGCCTTTTGTTTATGCAATTTGAGCCATCAGGTTCTGCATGCAGGCAGTACTTGTAAGTCCATGGGTACACAGTGACTTCACAGACTCATTCTAATTTGACAGGTGTGCGGGTGTGAGTTCGCGGCCCTGAATGCAGACAGTATGGGGTTTATTTACTAAAGCTGGAGAGTCCAAAATCAGACTCCCTTCTGCATAGAAACCAATCAGCTTCTAACCTCAGCTTGTTCAATGAAGCTTTGGCAATGAATCCTGGAAGCTGATTGGTTTCTATGCAGAAGGGAGTCTGATTTTGGACTCTCCAGCTTTAGTAAATAAACCCCTATGTGTGCAGGGCTGCTCACCCACACACCAGTTAAATTGGAATGTATGGTTGTGTCCCATTTCAGTGTAGGATCCGTATCAATAAGGTTATACAATTTATTCCGTGCAGACTGACAAATCGCCCTCTTATTCTATTGTATTCTGATGGCCAGCACTGGTGGCTAGGTTGTCCTCACTGCTGACTGGTTAGATTTCAGTTGATCTACTTGATTTTATTCTGGACTGACAAACATAAAATCCTATACTGTTCAAGGGTCGTGGGCAGGAGCGGACTGACAACTCATGGGGCCCCCGGGCAATAAGGGATCATGAGGCCCGTGTGTCCTTGCCCAAACTCAAAAAAGCCTATGAAAAAGGTATCAGGGGCATCTCATGGGGCCCCCTACTGACCCCGGGCCCTCGGGCAGTGCCCAAGTTTCCAAATGGTCAGTCTGCCCCTGGTCGTGGGCAGTAGTGATGTCCCTGATGTTCTAGTCGAACATATGTTCAACGCGAACATCGGCCGAACACACAAACGGTAAGAGCGGTGAACACACAAACAGTAAAAGCGTTTGGTGGGCTATTCGCCCTCTGCGTCCCACAATGCCCTGTGCTCAGACAGTGCATTGTGATTGGCCAAAGCAATGCATCTGACCACATTGGGTTTTGCCAATCACATCACAGTTGGGTGGAGCTCTACCCAATAGTTTACATTTGACCGGAAAGTGTCAGATAGCAGCAAGTGCTCAGTGGGAGTCGGATTTTTTTTATTTCGGCGAGTTGGTGTTGTCATGACAATGCTGGACGCCGTGAATGAAGATGGATTACAATGATGGAACCATTTTTGTGGCTTTTTATTTTCAATAAAATACTTTTATTCACATTTTACACTTTTGTGTGAATGGGTAGGGGTACTATGTACCCCATACTCATTCACAAGGGGGGGGGGGGTATCTGGCTTCCAAGGGGGCTTCCAGATTCCAATAAGTCACCCCCTGCAGACCCCTACAACCACAGCCCAGGGTTGTGTGGAAGATAACATGGGGGCATGGTGCTTTAGGGGGGAGCACCCCTACCCCTAAGCATCTCTCATGTTGAGGGCATGTGGCCTGGTATGGTTCAGGAAGGGGGGTGCTTGCTTGTCTGTGCTCAGATCAAGGGTCTGGTAGGAATTTAGAGAGGACCCCACACTTTTTTTTTTTCCCTCATTCTCTGGGGGTGGGGTTCCCCTTAAAAGACCTACCAGGCCTAAAAGGCCTGGAATGGCTTTTAGGGGGAACCCCATCCACTTCCCCCTCATTTTTGGGAGGCGGGGTTCCCCTTAAAAGTCCTACTAGGCCTAAAGGGCCTTGTATGGCTTTTAGGGGGAACCCCACACACTTTAAAAAAAAAAAACTATTTACTGTGGTTTCCTTCCTAACCTTCCTAACAGGCCTAAAGTGTCTAGTATGGATTTGGGGGGGATCCCACACTGTGTTTTTTTTTTGTATAGAAATGTTTTTGTTTTTTTTTTAAATGGCAGTCCTGCTGCAGCAGGTTCTATACCTTGTACAGATGTGCAACTTATACATTGTACAGATATGCAGGTAGTTTAAGGGAACCCCCGGGGCATGATATTTGATAAAGAATTTTAAGCAATGAAAAATGACTGCCCCTTTAAAAAAACTGTACTTTTTGAATTTTTTTTTCTCTCTGATTCATGTCCCTCAGAGGAGTACCCGAGTCCCCATATACTTGCATTAAGTTTGTGGTCGAACCTTCGTTCAAATGTTTGACCACAAACTGACCAGGGGGGTGTTCTGCCTATCTATCACTAGAAATAAACCTGCCCCTTCCTTATAATGCATAATACCAAAGTGTGTTATGGTGGAAGTCTGGATGTCTTTTTCCTTTCAAAAAGTATTTAAGTAATGAAATTATCAAATGCAAGTATATAAGTTACTGATTAGCTACAATGGCCCAAATTCATCATAACACAGAACAATAAAGCATGCTAATACCAGTTGAAAGGTCACTTAAGGATACCATAAAAAAGTTGCCAAACCCAAGAATGAAAATGCAGCATATTGCAGGTTACCAGTCCTTAGATGTGGTGGCTTAATTACTGGAGCTTTCATCTTCGCCAGCTGTTTCTTTTATCACATAGTGATTCTGCCAGTAACAATCTGCCTAGTGTGGCAAGGTTCACTCATACTATCCATAGAGAAGCAGTCACCCTTCATTGGACACAGGAAAGCATTGGATTTTTGGCAGGATCAATAGGTTTCTTTTGTGCTTTTAAGATAGATATATAGTAGCAAAATGCTTTCAATTGTATATTTAACAGACCACATGGAAGCTAATAAGAGAATGTCATTGTTAGGGTTTGCATATATTTTAAAGCTAAAGTCCAGTAAATGGGAAAAAAAACCCTTTTGGTAGGTGCACACCCTGTACAATAAAGTTTTAATGCTTGTTTATTCTAGGAAGTATGCAAAAGTGTAAGTTCATCTTTTCAGAAAAAAAACGAAAGGTAAATTAACACTGTACACTTTCCCCCAGTCCCCTCTGTACTTATATCTGTGGGTTATGAGCTGTTAGTGCCTATGCAGCCTTTGTATCCATCCAGTGATTGGAAATCACTGCTATTCTTCCCCTTCTTGCTCTAGAGCTTCCAGGATGGATCACAGTGATTCCAATTGATCAAAGTGGTCATGTGCTGGCTCTGACCAATAAGAATTGCTATGATTTCTCCTGTAATCCCTACAGAGAGAAGGGGAAGCAAAGTGGGGATTTCAGATTCCTGGACCAATACACCAGCTGCATGGGAACTGACAGCTTATCACCCACGGAGGTAAGTACAGAGAGGACGGGGGGGTTAGGGTGTTAGTTCTCCTTTCATTTTTTCTGAAAGGTTATACTGACCTCTTTGCTCACTCCTACATGACTCCCCCAAATGGAAGACCACTCTAGCAAAGAGCTCCTCCTTGCCAATAGCACAACCACTTCATTACATACAAGAGCAGTCCTGCATTGTATGTGAGCCTGTCCACATTTTAGGGATGGGGGGGGGGGCAGAACGGAGGAGAGCACCAACTTTCTGGGGAGTGAGAAATAAGGTCAGGCTCTCCTGAAACAAAATGAGCATTATAGCCTTACTATATATGAGAGGAACTACCAAAAGGGGATTCTCATTAGTGGACTGAAGTTATGCTTTAAGTGCTATGACAGCTTGATAAGGTCCAATGTAGCAAAACAGACCCTAAGGCCCAATATAGCAAAACTAAAACATTTGTGTAAAATGTGTTCAGATAGTTGTATTGTATACAAATCATCTACGTTTCTTGTTGAAAGTTTTCATAAATGTTCTCTACTACGTCTCGCCAACATACTGTATTATATACAATTACTGAAACATACTAAGGCTGTGCAAAGACATGCAGATGTGTTATCAAGAATGATTGGTGGTGAGACATCTGTTTGTCTTTAAAACTGCCACAGTTCTCTTTTTAATTGGTGCAAGCATGATTAAAACTGTTCATATTTTAAATTGAAAAGGGAACACTTGTTACACAATCCACATAAGAAGTGTGCCCAACTTTTGAAAGTGCTTGCTGTTCCTGATTTGGGAAGACCTACATGGCCTAATGCTCGCCCAGTCTTCACTGCTGATGCTTGATCAGGTCAAAGATGAACTCCTAACATGTTGTAATGTTGTTGTCCTGTGTAATAGCAGACTGCAATGGATCCTTATTCTGCAAAGTTTAAAATGGAAAAACTATAATCTAAACACCAGCATTCTATATTGCATCTAGAACATATTTATACATGAAATAAAATCTGCTCTGTAAATAGGTGCAATCATGGCCTAACTCTACAAAAGCCAGATGAAGATGTACATAGAAATGAGGGAATCGTAATAAGTCCTTTTGAGTCTTTGATTAAGTAATTCATGGAATCACACAGATCAATCGTGAAAATTTGAATGGATTTTGTCTCTCATCAGCTTTTATATGATTCACAGAAGCTGGAATTCACAGTAAGAAAACACAAGGGAGATCTAGATTAAGGCACTGGTTCAACTGTGCCGCTAAAATTTGCAGTTCATACTGCAGACATTTCAAGTTAACTTAAGTTACTGGCAATCTGACCAAATGCTTATAGCATAAACACCGAATGAATAAAAAAATTGTAAAGGCCGTTTTCTCAGACATACTGTTTCTTAGAGGCTGAACTGCTGGCTCTGCTTGGTTGCTTCTCGACAACGGCATGGGGGTTGGGAGGAACAGGTTTAAAACGACTGTTGTTGTAATGCTCTAGTGTCTGATTTCCTCCATTAAGACATAGATTTTTCTCAGTATTAAAGTTTGTCCAGTTGTCCACATTTTGTACTTTGTATGCTGGGTAGGAAATGTTTTCAGTCATGGGGAGATATAGGTAAGACTTGTCCTGAAAAGGAGCACTGGCTGTCTCAGAGCATTTCCCTGGGTATATATCCTCTTCCTTTGTGTATTTTGTGCTAGGCACATAGGGAGAGTATTTCTTTAAGGCATGAATCATGCTCCTACACATTAGATGAATCAGTTCTAAGATGTTCAGTAGTAGAGAAATCAGTGACACTACTAGCATGAAAAGGATGAAGATGGTTTTCTCCATTGGTCTGGAAACAAAGCAATCTACTTTATGAGGACATGGTGTTCTCTCACACACATATATTGCAGGCATTACAAAGCCATACAAGTACCACTGGCCAAGCAGGAAGCCAGCTTCAAAAATACTCTTGAAAATAACACTGATTGTATATGTCAACATCAGTGCTCCTCGGATTTTAACCCTGCCATCCTCTTGAATGCAGATTTTAAGACGTTTCTTCTCAATGACAGCTATGGCAAGGTCTACTTGTTGGTCCTTCTCATTCATAGCCCTTAGCTCTTCCTCTTTTTGCTTCAGCTTTTCTTCTTTTCTGGACAGATAAATGACATGTGCCAAGTAAAATAAGGTGGGTGTGCTAACAAAGAGAAACTGAAGTACCCAGAAGCGCACGTGGGAGATGGGAAAGGCTTTGTCATAACAGACATTTGGACATCCAGGCTGATCTGTATTGCATACAAAATCTGATTGTTCATCGCCCCAAACAGATTCTCCTGCCAATCCAAGAATTAGGATGCGAAACACGAAAAGCACCATTAGCCAGACCTTCCCAATACTTGTGGAGTGCTCCTGTACCTGATCCAACAACTTCTCCAGAAACTCCCAATCTCCCATAGTGCAAGGGTCTTTCCCTAAAAAATACAAAGAAAATTTTAAGTATGGCTTTCTATGGCAGTAATTTTTTAGAATAGCATATAATTTGCAATATTCAGTGACGATGGCCCTTGCCAGTCAATGATTGGCACTTACAGCCTTTGAAAATTTTTAATTAAACCACTCATCGTCACCACACCTGGAAACCTTTCAGCAAAAGAAATCACTTTTCAATGTTATATTTGATAAAACTTTGGGGAAACCTGCCACTGGGCATTACTGCCTGTTTAAAGGAGTTTTACTCTTCCAATGGCAGTGGGAAAACCCCTAAATTCACAATGTTTCGTTAAGTGCTGCTTTTTATGTTTCAATCCCTTTTTCCATTCCTTCTGCCTAATACCTGTATGTAGCATTAAATCTTTAAATTTTTGACAATATAAAGACCAGTTTTAAAGTTTACCAATCACAAATGGGCAATGGTACACTTAATGACATGCAGATGGAAAACCTGGGTCCCACACTATCTTTAGCCTAGAAATATGACTGATATATTTAGCTAGTATTGCAATACATGAATGCTGTTTTATGCATTCTGTGAACTGGTTGAATCCAGGGAACTGGGAACAAATTAGTAAATTCAGCATAAAAATATGTAGATATTATGAATACAAACTGTGGTATTTCTCTTATATTTGTATTGTCTAATTAAATCAACAGTATTTCATTTTCATAAAAAAAATTGATAAACTAAAGACAAGAAACAAAAAAATGATGTCTGCTTGTTAAAGCAATGGTGTGCTTGTTATCCAATTATAATTTCAAAACAGTTTTGAATCTTTGTAAAATGAGTCCATATTTCTGAAATGTGAAATTGGCTATGGTTACTAAATTGGCTATGGTTACCATGGGTGGAAGGAAAGAAAATTGCTTGATTCCCCCCAACAACACAGTCAGTGTTGATGGGGGAATCCCTCCCACAGTGCTATTGTGTTCTGCCAGCGGGGAGCCTTCCTTACTGGAAGAACACACTGATCACTGCCGGCAGCTATAGCATAAAAATTCAATGGCCTGAACTCAGTACAACCAGCCTGCCCATACATGGATCAAATCTTGGCCAGTTCCTGCTGAACCAACTGATTTTTGATCAATTTATGGCTGGTTTAGTCAAATAAAGCTATTCCTTTGGTTAAGAACATCTCCAATTATGCATAAATAGAAAAATTTAAGAAGCATAAAGATTTAAAATAAAAAATCATTTATGTCAAAGATTTATATTATTTCAATAACTAATATCTCACTGTAATTCAGTATTTAACTTTACTGAACTCAGCCATTACTGAGCTCTTTCTATAGATGTTATTTGACTGGATGCCCTGACTTCAATCATTCGAGACACTGGGGGAGATTTACTAAAACTGGAGCACTCAGAATCTGGTGGAGCTGTGCATGGTAGCCAATCAGCTTCTAACGTCTGCTTGTTCTGTTAAGCTTTGGCAGTAAAACCTGGAAGCTGATTGGTTTCTATGGACAGATTTTGCACTTTCCAGTTTTAGTAAATAACCCCCACTGACTTGGATCAATTATGCAGCAACCACAGACACAGTGAAGTCAGAACTCCTGATCTGCATATTTGTTCCTGACCATGTATCGAAGACATTTGATCAGCATGACAGCCTGACAACTAGCATCTTCAGAAGGAACAGTTAGTAAAGGCAGTCTCCAAAGAGATACAGTCTGATAGTATATGTATTTACTGTATGTATTATTCTGAACTGGCCTAATTATTGACACAAAACACCCAGGATTATCCATGTCTATCTTCCCTTGTAATAACCAATAGAATTATTATCACTCTACCTGAGCTATTGATTTGTCTCTGTCTGTGATGTGGTAAGCGTACGTGGCTACTTGCTTGTAGGAAAATATAATATTACATTATGGCTTTATAGATGATGGATTATGAAACATTATGAAATATGAAACACGATTCACTAAGACATCTGAAAACCAAAAGTCTTTGCATCTTTTAGTTTTAAGTGTTTATTTGATGGAAGGTCAAAAAAGTTTTACCATTTTAATTTATTACAATTTATTTTTGCTTCATAGGTGTCTAATATCAACCTTATCCAAGATTCATTTATCTAACTTTTATGTAACAGTAACAATAAGACAATTTTAACATAGACAATACACTGTAAAAATAATGATATCAGAGCAGCCTTTATTAAATTTTTTCATTCTTTTTTTTCTTTCATTTTTACAATTCAATAATCTGCAACTAAAAAATATAGGAGAGATTTAGAGATGATTCAAATTGTAACAGATAAACGTACCTTAAATGTTCAGAGAGGAACATCTACCTGTGGGACTTAAAGAAGTTTACTTTCTGCATGCCAGAGAAGTTGGTACACCCAGCAACAAGGCCATTCTTTCTAGCTAGAGCCATATGAAGTCTGCAGTAAGAGGGACTGTGTGATAAGAGAGCTAAACAGAGGATGCCCTCTCGTCAAAAAATCCCAGAGGGGAGAGGAAACCATGGGATGGACCAGAGGAGGTGCAGGATATTAGGGTTGTACTCACATTTTTTTTTTTTTTGTGGGTTGGAAGAATAGTTTAACATGTTACTTGCTAAAATGGCAGCTATTAATCTCTTCTACAGTTTTCTTATCTTTTTTAACTTCCAGCAACCTTTATGAATTGTAGCTTTTTGTTTTATTAAAAACAATGGCTTACAGTTAGGGAACTACTGTGAGAAGGTTCCTTATCAGATCAGATATTTTATGAAAACAAAGAATAAACCTAATTGTTATAATTGTTCTCTCAATTCAATTTTTATTAACATTCACAGAGCACAGCTAAGCAAGTTAGCGGAGACAAGAATGTTAGGTGTAGCCCGGAGAAAAAAGTAGTAACATTTATTATATTTAAATCTGAACTTAGGGTATTATTATTATTGTTATTACTTATATCGTATTAGATTATTATCATAGGTATTTATATAGTACTGTACATTTACATAGCACTTTACATATTATTCATTCCCATCAGTCCCTGCCAGGGGCAGACTGACCATTTGGAAACTTGGGCACTGCCCGAGGGCAGTCAGTAGGGGGCCCCATGAGATGCCCCTGGTAACTTTTTCATAGGCTTTTTTGAGTTTGAGCAAGAACACAGGGGCCCCATGATCCCCTATTGCCCCAGGGCCCCATGAGTTGTCAGTCCGCCCCTGGTCCCTGCCCTCAAGTAGCTTACAATCTAAGGTATGGATTATATTGCATAGTTACAATGATCCAGCTTGGATTCCATATTCCATACCTGAATGTCCACTGTGGAAGTGGAAAATCACCAAAGTAGTCACCACTATTACAATTGATTGCCTCTGTCTTCGGGGTCCTTTGCCTTGCATTCATTGAAAAAATTAAAGGCATGCTGTGAATGGCAATTGTGCCAAGCAAGCAAATCCCCTGTGGTTACTATGCAACCTGACAGCCACTTGCTTGGCATGGCCGCCATTCAACAGAACATGTGCATTTTTCTCAATGCATGCAAAGCATTTTATGATTGCACGAGGCAAACCGGCATGGCAGTGGCTTGATAGCCTGTACATCATCCAATCAGAGAACACCTTGCATTCACTGAGAAAAATGTAAGCTTTTCTATGAATGGTACCGTGCAGAGAAATTGACATCCTGTGGCTACTATGCAGCAGGGCAACTACTCAGCACAGGATGCCAAAGACAACAGCGATCACTGTACATGCAGGCACAGTGATTCTCTGCTTCCACAGCAGTCACACAGGTATGGCATACAGTGAAGTAAATAAGTATTTGATCCCCTGCTGATTTTGAATGTTTGCACACTCACAAAGAAATGATCAGTCTACAAATCGAATGGTAGGTGTATTGTAACAATGAGAGACAGGATAGCCACAAAAAATTCTAAAGAAATGAATGTCTAACAAATTATGCATTGATTTGCATGTTCATGAGGGAAATAAGTATTTAATCCTCTATCATTCTGCAGGCTTTCTGGCTACCAGGTGTCTTTCATACAGATAACAAGCTGAGATTATAAGCAGTCTCTTAAAGGGAGTGCTGCTAATCTCATTTTGTCACCTGTATAAAAGACACCTGTCCACAGGAGCAATCAAACAATCAGATTCCAAACTCTTCACCATGGCAAGAACCAAAGAGTAGTCCAAGGATATCAGGGACAAGATTGTAGACCTACACAAAGCTGGACTGGGCTACAAAACTATCACCAAGCAGCTTGCTGAGAAGGTAACAACAGTTGGTGCAATCATTCGCAAATGGAAGAAAAATAAAACAACTGTCAGTCTCCCTAGGTCTGGTGCAACATGCAAGATCTCACCTCGTGGAGTGTCAATGATCATGAGAACAGTGAGGAATCATCCCAGAACTACACGTGAGGATCTTGTCAATGATCTCCAGTCAACAAGGAAACAATTGGTAACACACTACACCGACAAGGATTGAAATCCTGCAGTGCCCGCAAGGTCCCTCTGCTCAAGAAAGCACCTGTCCAGGCCGGTCTGAAATTTGCCACTGAACATCTGAATGATGCAGAGGAGGACTGGTTGAAAGTGTTGTGGTCAGATGAGACCAAAATCGAGCTTTTTGGCATCAACTCAACTCGCCGTGTTTGGAGGAGGAGGAGGAATGCTGCCTATGACCCCAAGAACACCATCCCAACTGTCAAACATGGTGGTGGAAACATTCTGTTTTGGGGGTGTTTTTCTGCTATGGGGACAGGACAACTGCACTGCATCAAAGGGACAATGGACGGGGCAATGTACCGTCAAATCTTAGGTGAGAACCTTCTTCCCTCAGCCAGGGCATTGAAAATGGGTAATGGATGGGTGTTCCAGCATGACAATGACCCAAAACACACAGCCAAGGCAACAAAGGAGTGGCTCAGGAAGAAGTACATTAAGGTCCTGGAGTGACCTAGCCAGTCTCCAGACCTTAATCCAATTTCTTTGTGAGTGGGCAAACATTCAAAGTCAGCAGGGGATCAAATACTTATTTCTCTCACTCTATGCCTGCTTACATTGGTCCAAAGCAGCTCTAATAAACTTCAGGCATAATGCTCCCATGTTTAGTGAACAGTGGGCATAATGTTCTCATAGTCATGTTCTTTTTAAAAAATAGTTCTTCCAGTTGGCAAGTGAATCAAACAACCACACTGAATGCAGAGCTCAGCAATCGGAGCATTCCACTGCATTTTTCTTTATGCAGTGAAGGCCTTTAACTCTTTTACTGCAACTGATGTATATAATACCCCAGTGGTAGCAGAGAGTTTTAGACACAGCAGCAGGGAGTTTGTGTATGTTTCACAAGGTGACCATCAGCTTTTACTGACCCCTGGAAGTGCGATCCCCCCTACCCTGCCATGCTTCCCAGGGTGCTCTATCCCACCTGCAGCCCTGGGACCCTGGCAGGTGTCGCCGGTTGGAGTGGAGGGTTACCAGCAAACATCTGTTAGCTGATCTCCACTAGCAGCAACAGAAAGCATTCCAAGGTTGAGGCTTCACTTTCCCTGGTTTCTGTGGCAAACGCATATATGAGGGGGTCTTCAAAAAGTTTATGCACTTTTTCTTACTAAATAGAGTTAAAAAAAGTGCAGAAACTTTTTGAAGAAGCCTCGTACGAATTAAACACACCCGCTGGGGCAGCCTAGGTACAAAAACATTGTTTGCACTACATGTTAAATATTGCCATGCACTTTGGAGTAATAATTCTGGGGCAATTATTTACAGTTAACTCTATGGTGATGACCTATACGGGCTTTTAAAGTGTTGCTTATGGAAAATATATATTACTGAAGTTTGTTGTTGTTTATTGGGCACATGCAACTCTATAGCTTGACATGTAGGGTATCTATTTACTCGGTAGAACCTTATCTTTTACATTTTACCAAAAAATGGGTAATATATTGGGTTTGCATGCCCTAAAATAAACTTTAGAATATTTTTTATTGAAAATTTTCCTTGATAAACTTGCGCGACATGTAACATAAAAAAAAATTAGAACCTCCACTCTTTTATGCTGCAAGTTCTCTACTTTCAGAAAATATAGAATATCTTAGAGTTTTAAGTAATCATCAGGCCTAAAATAATAAAAAAAAATAAAAAAAAAGACTGAAGCACATCTGAACTTTAATTTAAATCAGCTAAATACACTTCAGATACATTAAAAACAAAAGGTGTGTCGGTCTTCTGCAGATAGACCACTGCTTCTTTACAGCATGCTGGTAGGGGGCAGGCTATTTATTTGAAAAGGAACTGTAAGGCTTTGGACACTTTTTGTTTTGATGTATTCGGAATGTTTTCAGCTAATTTAAACTGAAGGCTTTAAAGACTTTTGCTGCTTGAAGAAAAGTGCAGAGTACAGAAGGGCCCCACACAATAAGCTTGGTCTGTTTATTTGTTTGTACACTACCTGCCCCCCAAATCTTACGAGAAGGCGCTCCATCGGAACCTCAGTCATCTTTCAAGATTCAGGATCTTCAGCATTCCCACTTATCTCATCAGAAGCATTGTTATTTCACCATTGCCTAGCCACTGTGGATAGACACTGGGTGTAAGCTAAGTATATATTTTCTATTTTTCTTTTCTGGTGTGTTTATTTTTACCATGTAATGTGTGTAATGTGTCTGTTTTACATGAGGGAGGTGAAAAAGTAGACCTTGCAAAACAATTCCAATTACGCAAAATGATTTTACCACACATTTCTTGAGAATATACATGGATATTAGAAGATTAAACGATTTTAAACAATGTTTACAATTTCATGGTTGTGCATACCTATAGTGGAAAAATTTAAGTTGTTGAAGTGTCAAAATCCAGCTTTGATGACTTTTTTTTTTCTTTTAACATCTGTACAGTGCAAAATTTCTTTCTTGATAAAAAATATATTTAAATTATAAAACGTTTTAAGTCATTATGTGTCTATTTTTAATATATAAATTAGACATACTGCTTTTTTGAAATGGAACTACAAGAGCGGTTAGAAGGTTGGTTAGAGTTATGGCTGTAAACATTATTGTCCAGACTTGAGTGAATGCCATTCAGCGCCATCTCCTTCTCCGTATTATAATTGACCCAATTTTCCTTGTCAGACATTTTATAGGAAGGGCATTTATCCCCAATTATTGGAAAATACAGACATGTTTTGTCAGGCTCCGGTGCACTAGGTAAGTTATAAGTCTTGTCTTGGAACATACCGGCATCACTTTTATATGTGACTCTTGCATACTTTTTTATTTTCCGACATATGCTGTGAGCAGTTAGAAGAACCAGTTCTAGTAAGTTGAGGAATAAAGAGATGAGAGAAACAGCAAGCATGAAAAGGATGAATATAGTTTTCTCCATGGGTCTTGACACAAAGCAGTCCACCTTATGACGGCATGGAGATCTTTCACACACATAGTTTGCAGGCATCACAAAGCCATAGAGATACCACTGACCAAATATAAATCCAGTCTCAAATAAACTCTTAAAGATAATGCTTGTTATGTATGTACACATCAGTGCTCCCCTGATCTTTACTCTTCCATCCTCTTGAATTAATAATTTCTTGTGTTTCTTTTCATTGAATGGTAAGGCAGCATCCTCTTGTTGAAGTTTGTCCTCCACAATCCTGTATTGGTTTTCTTTCTGACTTAGTTTTTCTTGTTTCCTAGACAGGTAGGCAACATGACCTAAATAGAACAGAGTGGGTGTGCTCACGAAAAGGAATTGTAGCACCCAAAACCGAACATGGGAAATGGGAAAAGCTTTATCGTAACAAACATTTGGACAACCAGGTTGTTTAGTGTTGCAAATGAAGTCTGATTGCTCGTCTCCCCAAACTGATTCCCCAGCAAGGCTTAAGATCAGAAGGCGAAATATAAACAGCACCACAAGCCAGATTTTGCCAACTGTTGTAGAATGCTCCTGTACTTGGTCTAGTAACTTCTCAAGAAAGCTCCAGTCCCCCATGTTAATTACAATGTCTGCAAACGCAAATAAAATGTTATTAGTATACTCAATATATTCATTTACAAATGCCGTTTACATTGTTATGCAGTTATATTTGTATAGCATTAGCATGATTCTGTATCTGTGTGTGACTTTTTTAAGGGCTTGTTTACACCAGCAGCATGCTCGGATTGCTTTTCAAAGGGAATATATTTCATAGCCTGTTTTATCCCCCCCCCCCCCAAATTCCATAGCGTGGTTGCAGCAACATGGCCCCATCCACTTGAATGGGTTGTGTACGGTGGCCAGCAGTGCCCATTGAATGAGACAGAGGGTGTAATTCCTATCATGGCTGCAAAGCACAGAATTCTCATATTTTTCCTGCTACTGAAAACCCACAATCCATACTCATTTAACAGCCAGAAAAACATGGGCCTGTTCCATTGTGCTTTTTACATCAAGCATACTGCACAGTAAGCTCTCCAGTGCTTAGAATAATAGAGTTAGAAAGTTATAAGAGTAGAATCAACAATAATCCTAATCCCTTAACTAAATACATCTGGATCAATATTATTAATTCTTTATCCCCCATGGAGCTCAACTGAAACTATATCACTCTGTCTAGGATATGTGGTTAAATACATTTCACCCTCCATTTATTCCATAATTACTTTACACTAAACTTCACTAAACATACTGCCTATGATTTATGGGTGATCTTTTATACCTATTCTCTTGGTTGAAACTACTGTTGCATTTTGATGTACTGTACTACAATATTTTACACTTTTGTAAGGATATTCCTCGAAGGTTGCATGATAAAGTCAAAAAGCATTTCCTGCTGTTAAGAAACAGCATTCTCTTCCAGCACTAAACTGAGCAACCTTTTTGTTCTACCAGCTGACTGTTCATTGCCAGTAAGGTCTGACTCCTGTAAGGCCTGAAAGTGACTCATACATACAGCTACTCACACAGTAGGGTGTAACTAAAGCGAAGCATAAAACTGCTATGGGGCCAGTGGTGGACATATCAGCTGTGCAGCAGATGCACAGGGGCCTCTGAGATTTTGGGGCCGATTACCACTATGGGCTGCCCCTGCTTATAACTGGCCTTAAGCTGGCCATAGACAGTTAGCTTTTTTCTTTGCTCAGCCAGTGGGCTGAATGAAAAATGCAAACAAACCAGGTGGATGGAGTAATTCCTTCCACCAGGGCATTGTATTCTGACAGCAATTGTGACACCAATTGCCTGCAGCCGCTGATCAACAATCATCTTCCAGCATTTCACTTCAACAGAAGTTGATCATATTCTCGACCTCTGATAACCAGGGGCAGCCACACACAGATCAAAAATTTGTTAGTCCCTGCTGAACCAGCCAAATTTCGATCAATGTATGACCAGCTTTAGAATCTTAGTAGCCAGATGATGGCCAAGGAACTAAAGTATGTCATGGACATGCTAGCTTCAGCTGAAGATAGCCTATCTTAACTGTGGCAGGGTTTGTCAAGGAGCAGGTTCCAAGAAACTGGTGGTCTACTCCAGGGCTTCTGATGGTGGAGATGGGTTGGATGCTTCTCACTTCCAGGTCTCTACCCCAGTTACTATTAGCCAAGGCAAGGTGAGCCAAAGACTTCAGCAGGGTGGCAGCCACTGGAATGATGAGTGGTGGATCAGTACCACACACAGTCTACGAGGGACTGAGTACAGCACACCATACAGGGGTCCCAGGGGACTGTACAGCATGCAGGATTTGCAGGAACATGTTATGGCTCAATGTACACAATTTCCAGAGACAGGTAAGCAGAGTGCATAGCAGAACTTTCAAGGACAGGGTACTGCTCAGTATGCAGGATTTCTAGGGGCAGGTGTGCAGAGTGCACAGCTGACCTTCCAAGGCCAGGGTACCACTCAGCATGAAATATTTCTAGGAACAGTAGAGCAGAGTGCAAAGTGGACCTTCCTGGGACAGGGTACTATTTAACATGTAGGTTTACAAGGGACAGGTAACCATATTGAACTGTGGAACTTCCAGAGACAAGGAATCAGAGCTTGGCAAATGTGGACAAACATTGCTTAGGCAAGGATGGCTGATCTTGGCACAGCTTAAATAGCGTCACTGATTGCCAGACTGGGTGGAGACTGGTTCTTTATCAGATAGCAGGTGGAATAGGGCAATGCCAAAAGTTGGGCATAGATGGATCCAATCTGCTGGTTCAGAAGGGACCAGCTGAGATTCGTTCCATCAACGGGCAGTCTGACTGTGCCCAAGTCAATTCATTGATCAACTTGTGTGCAACCAGCCTGTTGAATTTTTAGGATGAGACTACTGTTCGCAGCTATAGCCATTGTATTCTCCTGGTCCCTGCTCCCTACACTTACTGTGTTGATAGGAGAATCAAGTGATTTACTTGCCTTCCATCAAGGGTGGAATTACCCCATCAACAAATTGATTCATCTAAGGCTTGTCTAAGTCTGCCAGAAGACTACAAGAATCAGGTGAGAACAGACCATCAGTCAATGGGACCACAGGTAGCATCTTCAAAGCCTGTCAGGGCCAGGGATTGAACCTGGGCCTTCTGCAGTAAGAGGCAATGTTTCTTCTCACTGAGCCACCTGGAATGCTGAACAGCTCCCTTGACAATTCTTTGGATGATCCTGCCTTGTCCCTGTTTGTCTTGAACCTTGAACTCCTCGCTCCTCCCATGAACTTCCTATAAAAGCCATGTCCATGCACTTCCTGCTTGCCAGATTATTGTGCCTTCCCAGCCAATATCCCGCTTATCGTTCCTGCTGCTGTCTACATCTTCGTTACTGACCTTTGGCTTGCTACTGACTATGATTTTGCCTCATCCTAATCTACTACCATTTGTGACCGACCCTTGGCTTGTGACTGACTCTGCTTCCGTTTGATCCCTAAACTGTTTGATCCGCTATTGGTGTCCAGCTTGCTCATTCCCTGGTGGGGTGATCCTGAGGTCTGCAACCTGGTAGTAACACGCAGCCAAATCCATCTCCACCATTAGGAGCTCTGGTGAAAAACGGTTAATATTAGACCCTGCACCTCAGGTGAGCCTGTGTCATTCCCAGGGGGACCCGCTGGTGTACCTATCCTGCTGGTTTCAGGTAAGCCTTACACTGCTGTAGCAACTGGTCTCTGAACCTGACCCAGACCATGACACAGCCATAGCAAGATTGTAGCAGCCCAAATATATGTAGAACTATAAGGTAACAGATCAGCTTTACAAATCTGTGACACATGTATAAAAGTATCCTGCCCGGGTTCTAGGTCTGTGGGTGGTACTTGATGGTATCTCATAGTTCTGGTGAAAAAGGAGCGGAAAGTCACATGTCCAAAGGAGCCCCTGTTTTAGAACAAATACCTTCTGACCACCAATGAGTAAGGACCCCTTTTTTCCCCACTGAACACCAATGACTGGGGGTTTTTCACTCAACACCAATGTACCAGCACCCTTTTACCTCTAAACATAAATGTAATTAATGTAAGAAATTGTAAAAAATGTAAGTAATTTATGCCAACCACCAATGAGACAGGGGAATTAATGCTGACCTCAAGTGTAACTGGTCAATTTATACTGACCACCAATATAATAAGGGAATTTACGCTGAGCACCAAAGTAAAGGGGGGATTTACACTGACCACAAATGTAATAGTGGAATTTACACTGGTTGCCAATGTAAAGGGAGGAATTACATTGACCACCAATATTTTAGGGGCATTTACACTTACCTCCAATACAATAGATGCATTTTCACTGACTACCAATGTAATAGAGGTATTTACCCTTACCATCATTACACTGAGGGTCAGTGGTGTATTTTGGTTTTGTGCTTCCCTAGGCAAGACTAAAATCGGGCACCCCACGCATCTAAATTTGTCCCATCCTTTCATCTGCAAACTCCACCCCTTCCTCTTTCCCACTAATGATGGGGCACTATTCCTCCCACTGACACCAATGATGGGGCCCCCCATCATTGGGTGTCAGGGGGAGGAATGGTGCCCCATCATTGGTGTCAGTGGGAGGAAGTGCCCCATCATTGGTGTCAGTGGGAGGAAGAGTGCCCCATCATTGGTGTCAGTGACACCAATGAGGGGGCACTATTACTCCCACTGACACCAATTATACTTACTTCGCTGTGCTGACCCCTGCTGCAGCCCGGGCTCCCTCTTTCAGGCACAGACACTTACCCATCAGCTGTCTTCCTTCTCTCCAGCCGCTCTCCTCTTCACCGGCTCCAGCTGCTCCCTTACTCGATCTTCAATCTTCGCGCTGCCGCTTAGCTGAAAGCTCTGCCTCCTCGCCTGTGATTGGCCGCCTGTGTGCTTTTTCTGAGCTACAGATCTGGCAGCCAATCACTGGCGAGAAGGCAGAGCTTGCAGAGGGAGGGATAGGCTGCCCAGTGAACCCAGGGGTGTGGTCAGATTCGAGGGGCGGCTTGTCATCCCGCCCACATCAAGATCCAGGAAGATGAAGACACCGGACGGACACCCTCTGCACCCCTCCTCCAGCAGCGGCTTGTGGACCGGATCGACGTGGGACACGGAGTAGCGGACACAGGTAAGACACAGCAGCCCCTGTCCCTTCTGTGGGAAAGAGGGGGGGGGCGCGGGCGCTGCCACCATGCCGCCCCCCTGAAAAGTACCGCCCTAGGCAATTGCCTTGTTTGCCTTGCGGCAAATACGCCCCTGCTGAGGGTTTTGGTAGACAGTGTAAATGTCCCTGTTACATTGGTGGTTGATCTAAATGCCCTTTTAGATTGGTGGTCTGCATAAATACCCCCTGTTATTAAGGAGTCTAAGCTGACATCAGTGTGCCAGATGCCTTTATTGTGCTAAGGGGCTTACATTTTCTAGATACATTTGTGGGGAGCTTCCCATGGGGGAAAAGGGTCTGATGGTGACTGAATATGAGGGAGCCTTACATTTCAGGGGCTGGTGATGATGGATGAATATTATTAAAGCCAGGGGCTGGTTAATTTAAATCAATTTTGCAGCATAATTT